CGTGTTCTGAATTTGAAGGAAAAATAATGATTCCCGGTTCGCGTCGAAATTCAAAGGTCGCGCCGGAGAGAGAGGAGCAGATAGAGAATCGAGCGGGTCCGTTTCACCAACAGAATACACGTTTCCTCTTCTATCTTTCTCCTTCCCCCCTCGTCCGGCTAATTAGCCTGTTATCGCGGCGAGCCGTTTCCGCGGATCCCGCTCGAATCTGTTTACAAATGCGTCGAATCGGTTTCGTAGCGTAAACATTAATGTGGCTGGCTGTACTCCTCACTGTGTGCAAGCTAAGACCGATTATTACGAATCGCCAAGCGACAGTGCCATACGAATATCGATATCATTTCGACTGCTTATACATCGCAACTTCAATTTCGTCGTTTTGACAGAAACAGAAACGAAAACGAACAAAAAAGAAAAAATGTGACAGAAAGACACACACAAAAAAAACGATTAAAAATCCCTCGAGAAAACACAAAGAAAAAGATAGGAGAGAGCACGTTCAACGAAGAAATAGAAAAAGAAAAGATACAAAGCAAAACGTTGAACGCGTTTCTGAACTGAATACTACACGCCCGTCTCGTTTGCTGATCCGAGACGCGGCGAGCGCGCGATCGTTTCGTCCAGCAAGATTCGATCGGCCGGAATGCGCGATTGCTTCCTCGTAATTGTTTTCGCTGAAATTTTCGTTCCTTTTTTCTGTTTCGCGAGAAGATGCAAGCAAAAATTAAAACACAACAAAAAAGTTACAAAAAAAAGACAAACAAAACAAAACGATGAGGATGAAATGAAAAAGAAAGAAAACAAATACATCCGAGACAATTGACCGTGAAATAAATTCCAATTTGAATCTGTACACACGCAGTGATGCCATTATTACCAGTCGTCGCTCTTGCGTCGCGTCGCTCCTCCCTTACCTCCCTTTTAGACCAGCCATCGTTTTACCTTGACCCATCGGTTTCGATACCGGCGATAAAGCATGATCGCCGCCGCAAAATTTCTCGTTCAATGGGACGTGAAACTTTGAACACCCGGTCGACGGGAAACTAACAATTGCCCCGCGTAGTCTTTCACTTCATCAATTGGATTAGTCCGGATCAGAACGAAGCCGTACACCTCGTGATACCGGGAATTCCCGTGATCGCCGATACCCTACCAAAATAGAGGAATCCCGTAACATTTTCTTCCCTCTTCTTGCCGCTTCATTTGCAAACGAGGCAGCTAAGGGGCGCGATACCGCTCGAAAGTATGGAGTCGTCTTTTCAATCAAGCAGAACATTATTTCACTGTTTCAATATAACAATGATTAAACACCGGATATTCATCTCTCATTTCCCAATGCGAATATTAACAAAGGACTCGAAAGTCTTTTCAATTTCCCCAATTGGCCCTCTCGCTAAAGTCAATACGGGAAAGCTTCAATGAAATGTCGCTGGTAGCTTTTAAATTCGCTACTTTATCCGATTGGTTCCATACTTTTGATCTCGCCGATGGATTCATGTAAATGACGAGTATATCGTTCGGAAAGGAAAGTAATTGAATGATAGGTTAATCACGATGACGCGAAATGTCACGCGTTGCGCACCGAGTATGAATCGCGGCCGCCACGCAGCATGTGTCAGCAGTGTTCCTAATCTCCTCTAAGTACCCTTAACCCAATTGAATTAGAAGGGCAGACCCCGCGGGGCACGCGTCGCTGAAGTCCTCTCGCCCGCATTTCTTCGATTTCCTTTTCCGCGCGTGAAACGCAGCGCGGGTGCGTGCGTGAAGGCTCGTTTCGCGGGTGGAACAGTATCGAAAACCGTGCTGCTTGGTGTACTATATCCGGGAGATGAACGGTATCGGTGTTCTCGCGATGAGAATTCCGGAGTAACTCGATTCACCCCTTCGCATAATTTTCATTCGTCTCAGCATTGATCCCACTAAAAAAAGAGGAACCCAGTGCAACCGACACGATTGAAATCCACGGAAATCTACACACGTGTATACGCATTTTTGTCCACGCATCGCTTAACAGAATCCTTTCAACCTTTTCTTTTTTTTTTCTTTTTCTTGAACGGTGTGATGATAAGTGTCTCATAAGGGTGGATTGATTGTCATTTAAGAGAGAGGTCGTACGTTGTGAACGATGTTGACCGGTTAACGGGTGACAACGCGCTCCGATAACCGGGTGTTCCCTGATTTATCCACATTACTTTTGGGTTCGTCTCTTACCAGAACTCACTAAATCTGCTGCGAGAGCTGGCACGGTATCTAAATACTTTTACTACCCCGAACCCGGTCCGCGGAGGACGGTCTCACGGCCGGGAGGGTGGCGAGAAAGAGGACACCAGGATGGAACGAATGGTGCACCGCTCGAACCGTCCACGGAAGGGAGCTAATGCACGTCACGTAACGCTTTTCTAAGGTATCGTCGACGTTTCGGTAGCGTGGACGTGGCCGAACCTCGCCAGAATGGAGCACCTGGATGATTATCAGTCCGCCGAGCCTGCCAGCGCCAAGGGAACGACGAACGCCGACGATGAAGTAAGTTCTTTGAGCACCTAGACCGCGTAGTTTCTTGAATTTCCATCGGTGCACGGAGGTAGAGGGGCTTCTGGGTTCGTCGTCGATGATCTTCGAAGTCACTAGTGAATGTAGAACTCGCGGCGAGGGCTGCGAGCTTCTAAGACACGACCAGGAGTGTGAAATTCCCTAAGAGATTACTTTTCAAGATGAAGTATTGGAATTCTGAATATTTTTTACTAATGTCTGTAGGTGAATCTTATGGGAAATTGATTATGGGGGTACTAGAAGCGTCCATTTTGAGATAGAAGTAGAAACAGTGGAAACAGTAAGGTGTTTGGTCAGCCAGTTTGTAAATGAGCTGATGGAACTGCCAGAAAATGTTCCAACGAATCTTGTACGCAATTTTCTTCGACGGTAATCTTAATCCAATTGTTTGTTTCGGAGATTGAAAATCTCGAAAATTTAAGATCCTTTTCTCGATGCGAATAATCGCGTCCCGTTATCAACTGAAAAATACGAACGCTGATTGATATTGTTATTTTCCTTGACTTGTCGCCAATCAAGATTGATGCGAGGCAATTGGAAAGAATTCGTGTACGATCGTTACGATTAAGAGGCAGGAGTTTCGTATTGTAGGAGGGTTTCGATCTCGACGATCTGCTGCCGATCGTCGGCGAGTTCGGCCGTTATCAGAAGAAACTCCTCTGGCTCGTGTGTCTTCCGGCGTGCCTCCCTTGCGGATTTTGCGCCTTCAATCAGCTCTTTATGGCCAACACGCCGCCTCATTGGTGTAAAGTGCCGGGATTGGAGAACTTGGACGTCTCCCGTCGAAGAAGACTCGCGATTCCGCCCAGTCAGGTGCAGGGAATTGATCGAAAACTCCTCACGATTTCTGCTCAATCAGCTTATATCGCTAGGAATCATTACGAGATATCTGTAGATGTACCAATTAAATTCCAGCCTCCAAATCTCTACTCTACCCTTTTAGTCGCTAGTATTATACACTTATATCTCGTGTACTTCAACCGAACACCTTTTTTGCTAATGTCCATCCTCTATTGCAATCCTCTATGCCTTCTAAGTAATCGTATACGAACACAGTTCCTAAAAGCTGTCAGGTACTATTAGGATCCAAAAATCATAGGTGTAAGCTCAAATCTCTACCAGACTTGCATCCCCTAGAGTGCCACTCCAGCTCCGTTTAGCAGCGAATTCCTCTGTGCTACCTCATTATAACAATCAGTTTCACAAATAGGACGATAATGAAACGTACAGCCAATGCACACGTTACGACATCGATTGGACGACAGAGAACATCTCAGTCGTGACGGCGCCGTCATCCCTGCCGAACTCTTCATGGCCGGTCGTCCCCTGCGATCATGGCTGGGAGTACGAGATGTCCGAGATAACGTCCTCCATCGTTATCGACGTACGTTCTTTATTTCCCCGACGATCCTAGCTAACTAGTACCCTAATCCCACTACTTAATTACTGTACTGAAACATTTGCAGTTCGATCTAGTCTGCGACCACGCGATCTATCCGACGATCGGCCTGGTCGCCCTGAACACAGGTGGTCCGATAGGGGTGTACCTGTTCGGTACCCTGAACGACAGGTAATTAACGTAACGATTCGCCGTTGGAACTATCACTTCATAGATTTTATTCTGTTGAGCAGGATCGGCAGGAGGCTGTCCTTCTTCACGTGTCTGGCGACCCTGATCACAGGCGGATTTCTAACGTCGATATCGAACAGCTTCTGGACCTGGGCCGCGACGCGTGTGGTCGTAGGCCTGACCATACCCGCCATTTATCAGATACCTTTTATCATATGTAAGATCGATTGAAACGATAATTGAACCGAAGGAAGCAGCCCTACCGCCGGTGAACCAATTTCCTCATCGAACTTTTCTCTGATTTCCCGCTAACAGCGCTGGAGTTGGTCGGCCCGAATTATCGGTCGTTCGTGACGGTGATGACTTGCAGCTTCTACACAATGGGTTTGTGTATGCTAGCCGGCGTGACCTATTTGATAAGAGACTGGCGGACGCTAGCCATAACTACGAGCGCGCCGTTTCTTTTGTACATATTGTATTGGTGGTGAGTAGGAGTCGAAGATAAGCGAGCCGTTATGGTGTCAGGCGCGCAACGAGAACGCTGTAAAACGTCCGAGATAATTGCAGGTTCCTGCCGGAGTCGCCGAGGTGGCTACTGGCGAAGGGACGCCTCGTGGAGGCGAACGACATCCTCGAGAGGCTCGCGAAAGTCAACGGGAAAGAGCTGCCAGCCTCTTTCACCCAGAAACTCCGGCAGCGGATGATGATGTCACGGTCCAAAAGTGAAGAGGAGAGATTGCGCAGCGGGCCAGGTGTCCTCTCGCTCTTCAAGACGCCGAACATGCGCTTGAAGACGTGTCTAATTACTCTAAATTGGTAAATCAAAGTCCAAGTGCCCGATAATCCCGATAGCGCGATGAACATCCGATGTGTCGTACCGGCTCGCGAGATAGCCGTACTCCAATGGAGAATTCGCGGCTGATTAAAACGTTCTCGGATAAGAGCGAGTACCATTAAGGTCTTTCCTACCGAGTGCCATTCAGGTATCTCTCCGGCGTATCGAGATCGATAGCAATCGGCTTCTCTTGTTTACCTGTGGAGTTGAGCTTCGACCGTTTGAAGGAAACATTGATGGATGAAGCATATTCATGTTTGACTCGTTCAAAAACCAAGGCGGTTAAGTTTGGAAAACAAAAATTCAGAACATTAATGTTTTGACTTCTGAAATTGTGATACGACGTATTCAGAAACTATAAAAAGGGCTTTTTGATCTAGACACCGCGTAGATACGAATAAATCCTGTAATAACTGAGAAGAATATTTATTCCATTAAAATTGACGGAAATCAGGGAATATCAAAAGATCGACTTAACCGCACTGGTTTCTGAGCGACTAATTTATTGATCGTAAAGTCTACGATACAAGCATACGCCCCTTGTAATTGGGTGTTCGACTTTGTTTACGTTTGAAGCTAGATTGTGTCTTGTCACGGGGCGGGTTCAGCTAAAGTTCAACAACAGATTAAACGCATAGAATGTTTTTTAGACCCGCCTCCTTCGTTTATTTTCGAGTGCTATTTTGTTTCGGTTTATTGGAGCTATCGGCGCACGATACACGTGTTAACAACAATGGCAAAAAATATCTGTGTTTGGTTGTTGTTTGCCCAGGTTCGCCAATAACATGGTGTACGTTGGCTTATCGTACTACGGCCCGGCGTTAGGGAACGAGGAGCATCTCAGCTTCTTCTTTTCATCCCTCGCGGAAATTCCCAGCTACATGGCGTGCTGGGTCGTGATGGATCGATGGGGACGCCGATGGCCGCTCTGTCTGTGCATGGTCGTGGCCGGGGTTTCCTGTATCGCCACTGTGCTCCTCTCATCCGGTACCCTAACTTCGACTGATCGATCGAACGATGACGCTCGAGTATCCCGTGCCCTCTGAGCTTTGAGATAGACGAGCGCAATGTTCACCAATTTATTCCGGGCTGCTCAACGCTGTCACATTAACTCTCAATTAATTATAACGCGAAACGTTCATAAACATGATTAATTTAGACAATTACGAGGAGCGTATGACGCAATGAATCTGTCCAGATGGACGTATAGCGAAGCTAAGATAATTCTTAATTAAATTCTTGAACCTATGGTAGGAGAGGGACGAGTTTTAAGAAATGAAGTCTGATTCGATCATTGATATACATTAAAGATTCTACCAAAGATTATGAATTTAGGGGTTGAAATCAGATAAGCGATCGGTTTTAAGCATCTCGTCGATCATCGTCAACGTTGATCCGTTATATAGTTAATTATTCACCACGTAAACGAAGTGTGAAAACGCTTGTCCATCTCAAAGTAGCAATCGAAGGTTTAAGAATAATGTAAAATTAAGAAAAGAGATCGTAACTATCGTTATGAATGTGGATAGCGATAAACTGTCGTCGCCTGGTTCACAGCGTCATCAATCGCGGTAGCGCCTACGTGCATCCATCACAAATACGCGACAAGCTAATCGCATTTTCTTTTAGACGCCGTAGTGGCCACGCTGATTCTATTCCTGTTATCGAAATCCGCGATATCGGCCTCGTTTCTCATTATATACCCGTTCGCCGGTGAACTTTACCCCACGCAACTGCGCGGCGTAGCGATCGGTTTCTCCGCTTACATCAGTGGTCTCGGGCTAATCATTATTCCTTTTGTTACATATCTGGTAAGTGATCGTAAATAAGTTTGTCGTGAGGTCAGCCATGGGGACCGACCGACCGACCGTCGATTTGCGTCATTCCAGGGCAAGGAGAACTTGGTCTTGCCCCTCGTGATACTGGGATGCGTCTCGGTGATCGGTGGACTGTCTGGCCTGCGTTTGCCCGAGACGCTGCATCATCGATTGCCCCAGACCGTCGAGGAAGGGGAGCTGTTCGGGAAGGATTGGACCTGTGCCGACTGCTTCCGTTGCGTTCCAATAAAGTACGTGCACTCGGTAGCGATACAGAGCCGACGTTCAATCGGACTCCCCGTAGATCCTCTAAACTCCTGGCACTCTTCGCGCTGTTCATCCCCAAAGTCGCAACTGTTTTTTTCACGCGTTGACACAGATTTGGAGGAATGTGTTCTTACTGCCAGAATCTCTCGTGTGCTAAGAAAAATAAATGGATCACGGCGAGAGCGAGTTAGATGAAGAAACAGTGAACGCTAGGTCTATACAGTAGAATCAGAGATTATCTAAGATTTCCTCGTGATGTATTGTTTAATAGCGTACGAGTCATGGTTGTTCAACGAGTACAATCAACGGAGATCTTGCTATAATTAATGGCATTGTAACATTTTAACTGGAATCAATGAAACCGTGAACTCCTGTTACATCCGAAGAACCGTTTCATTTAGCCGACTCGTTTCAGTCGTACGGATGAAGATCTATAGTCGTTCCTACTTCTAGACCCTCATCCGCCGCAGCCTCCTACGAAGATCTATCAGCCAGAGAGACGGTAGAGATGCACGAGGTGCCCGAACCACCGATCACCATTCCCCAACGGTTACTAGAGGAGCAACAGAGGCCGAGCGGCGCGAGCGTGCGTCGGCTGGTCCGCCAGTCCAGCGTGATGGACACGCAGCGGGACTCCGACGGTTCCATTAAAATGACTTACTGGTTCTAGACTCGAGACTTCGTGGTTCAAATAAAATTTCAGAGAACGAACAACTGAGAGTAGGTTTATTGCCCGCAACGATTTCACTTTCTCACGTCGGAGTTTTGTTTGTTTGGACTTTACCCGATGACATCTAACATTATCAACGCTGTATCAGCGTCGGATCTAGAATTAAAGCATCGTCATTCGGATCTATGGTACATCGATCAGGGTACACTCGAACTTTGCAAATCACTGTAGCCTATAGAAACAATACTCGTTATTAAAGAACACCGAACATTTCCTCGGAGCGACCACGTAAAGATCTTTCAATAAAAATCAGGAACAGTTGGAGGAACGAGACGAACGGTTCGTGTACATCTTGCAATTTATTCCCACAGTTGGTATACAAAACACGAAGATTAGGGGGAGGAGAAATAAGAAAGGAGATGAGAGCCGTCGCGGTGTTGATCGGAGTTGCTCGCCGTGATCTCGGTCCAATCTCTGCCCGACCGTGTCTCCTATCCTTCGAGTCGGTTCAGAGTCGTGTGGTTCTGTTGTAGCAGCTGTAAGTGGGTGGATCACTGTACGATTTCGATGCACGATCCTGCACCGATCGACGCGAGATTCTTTGCTGGCCTATTTACCTCTCCAGTAATCGCTGCTGTAACTCTGGCGGATAGGACACGTAGATGTAGTGGTCGGGCATGACCTCGTTCGACGACGGCAGCTTCTCGTCACCGGGCTCGCATTTCCTTCGTTCGGCCGATCTACCCTCGCCTGGACCACTCGGTTCGTGTAACGACGACGCAGCCGCGAGCTTGCCGTCCGTGTAGTCCAGGCTTCCGGCGCCGTCCAATGTATCGTCGTCCGCGGAGCTGTTGGAAGAAAACTTTGTTATCGTTAACACGCTTGCCAACGTGCGCTAGAAACGCTCGAGATTCTTCTAACGAAGGCTATTCTTCTAAGAAGAGACTCGACTTGTGACGGTTTCTTAGTTTCCGTTGTAGGTACTGATATCCTGAAGAACGTCTAGACTTCAAAGAAAATCTTTCATTTCTATGGAATAACGGGAGAAGAATGACAATCTTGCGCCGGTTAAAATAATCTGGAAAACTTTGGAACGTTCGTTGTCGCCAGAGGTAACTGCACTCGAAAGATTTTATGACGAACGACGAAAACATTTTACGTAATGTCTGGTGGAACTTCGTCGCGTGTCGAGTTGTTTTGTAACAATAATGACTGTCGATTTCTTCGTGGGAAACGGAATAGAGGTCGCGTACTTTATATTTTGGAAATATACCGAATCGCATGATCTTCGATTTCTCGGAATGATTTCACTTTCCTCGTTCGCGGCGGATTGTTTTGATGGCAATGTTGTATACAGCTGTTTGTTTTCCTGTGTTGGACTAACGGGTGACTGAGTTTTTTTTTCGCCTGAATTGAATCGGTCTAGGCGATAAGCGACGCGATATGTCGCGATAACACGGATGTCCACTCTTCTTGAGCATTCTATTCGCCAGTTGAGTTGTGTTTATAAGCAGAATGTTGTTTTTGTTGAATACGAGGAATTTCGTGTACCAATCTAATATTATCTATTTTATGGAGCAGTGATTAGCCAAATATCTATCGCTTCGCCAATTTCTCGAATAAAATATTTTCCTTATGATGTAACATGTTTTGTAACAGATTAGATGTTCGTCTTGATGTCGAATTGATTTCAAGAAATCGAAGTTCAAGCGGAAGTGTGTGCCCTTGAATGCAATTTCGAATGCGCCGATTATGCCAGACACGTCAGAGCTTGCGCAAATTGCTAGACAACGCGATATAAAATTATCTCTTATCGCTGCACTTCGGTAAATACACATCTGGAATGCCGATAACGCGCTGGAAATACGTTCAACGGACAGGGATGTGCCAATTGTCGCAGTCAAGCTATGAAAGAGAACAAGAAATGCAGAACTGTTTCCAAATAATCGTTTATACTTTCTAATTTCGCATTCGCCTGACTTTTATCAAAGTACTCATACAAATTGCTCTTGGATCTGTTTCCAGCTAGCATAAAGTTCTACATAAATTCACTGAAAACAAACGAGATCTAGAAAAAAGAGAACCCTTTGGCATCTTCTTGCTGTTGTCACTGATCTAGAATTTAGAAGAAACATTAATGAGTGAGTGGATCAAGATTGATTATCAACTGTCACAACAAAATTGCATGCAATCCTTTATGATCGTGTGGAAATATGTGATTTAGATTCGACGTACGTACTTGAACAGGACCCAGATGACATAGTAGCATGCATAAATCGACGTGGACAGTATAGTCAGAAAAATAATGAGCAGGTACCAAGGTGTGTGCCTCTGTTGCCTCTTCGTGTCCTCCCAGTACCTGTCGCAGCTGAGATACCAGCATATTGCGCGGTTTAGCTCCCCTATGTCGTAACAAACATTCATGTGATCAAGAAATCTCGAACTACCCGGTCTGTATTTGTTAATCCACGATTATTTACCTTCGATCTCTTGAAAATCTCGTACCGAGAGATTCGTCAAAAGTCCAGCGATGCAATCGCGAACCAGTATCTGTCGATGGCACAAGCGACAAGAGAATTATCGTCGTTATCGAATTAATCCAAGCATAATATGATCACCAGAATATCAAAGAGTCGAGTCTTTTGATTATTGCCTCGAAAGTAAGATTCTATTTAAATCAATTTGTTCGAAGTTTCTGAATAACAATGGAAATTCAAGGGAAGTATTTTAAATGAATTTTCTTGATTTCAAAAGACTCGATCGTTGGGTATGGTGGCACATAATCGCAATTTTATGGCTACATAATTCACGAGTTGGGGACTGATGTCGATTACCTTGAAGTATTTCGACGAACGATATAGATAAAACGATTACATCGAGTCGGGATCGAATCAAGCTGGAGAATAGCTGTTCACTTTCTACAAGAAGCGTTTCTAATTACTCGGAATTAACTGACCAACGACGAACCAAGCGTTTTTACGAGGATCAAAGCCTTCAAACAGCGACTGGTACCTGAACGTCAAATTCACGCAGACTTTCCTCGATGCCCATAGAATTCTCTGGCTTGGAATTTAATTCATCAGCTACGAACAGCTCTCCATCTGCTATCAAAACTCGTCGTTCCGATAAGACAACAACTTAATTTCTTCGAATCCAAGAAACATTTGCACAATTCACTATTTCTCATATCGAAATGAGACAATGGTTACTTCAGAGAAATGGTCCTACGTGATCCCCGTATCTTCCCCAGATAAATATGTTTTCTAACCGTCTCTTATTCTTATCATTTCTATTCCGTACACATTTATACTATAACGGATATTAATATTCATACCATGATCCATCTATACAACCGTTAATCATCTTATTGGAAAAAAAACCATCAATATATAATAACCTGATCGACGTCTCCTATATCCAAGAATCTAGATCTATCAACTCGAGTGTCTATCCTCAAGCATCAAGCCCTTCGTTTAAAATTCAATTCGAATAATTCAATCAATCAATTAGAACATTCAATCTCCGAATGATTCCTCGAAATGTTTCGCCTGCGAACCAAGTAAGACCATTTCGAAGCTAAATCCCGAGGACTTCCGGGGTACGTAAACTAACTTCGCACTGCAACTTCAGCTTCTGCAGCTCCTCCGGCTTGCAGTTGGCCTTCAGCTTCCTCAGGTGGAGCCCCTTGCGCCTCTGCTTCTTGTCCACGGCGGGTAGAGCGGCCTCGACGAGGTTCTCCTCGTCGTCCTCGTCGTCCTCGTCCTCCTCCTCCTCCTCGTTGTCGCAGGCGTTGCTCTTGTTGTCCGGGCCAGCGATCTCTACGTAGTACGCCATCCCGGGTAGTCGGTGATTATCGAGAGCGCCGGTGTCCTCCCGGTGACAGTACTGGTGGATGTTCCTGACGGCCCCGCCGCCGGACATCGTGCAGGACTTCTCGACCGGGTACGTTTTCGACGACGGCCCGCGCAGGCTGCACGGCATCACCGAGGTGGAACGTTGCTCAGTGTTCTCCTTCCAGACTTGGATGTCCGTGCTGTGGTGGGCTGCCTCGTCGTCTACCAGCGAGCTCTCGAAGTCACGGTTACCCAGGACGTCGCATCTCATGATGTCGCAGTAGTCCGCGAGGCACACCGCATCCTCCGCCTTGCGAAACGACCGGGTAAGCGATTTTTGTTACAGTTACATGGGGATCTTTGTGTGGATGTTAATCGTTAGGGGATAATAGAGTACTGAGGTTTCTAATGGATTTATCGTTCAATTTGTACTGCGGAGAACTGCTGTATGAGTATTGAAACTATGCGATGTTCGAATTCTTTGATTCGATTGTGTTTGGATAATGAGTAGTACAGGTAAACATAGAGTCCGCCTTTTGGCCAAGGGAAAATCGAAGTGACATTGAGTTTAGTAAACAGTTGGTACAAGAACTGAAATATTGTTTGATTGGTCGTAGATTGAGGGAGTGAAAAGCCCTCGAAGTTGAGGGTGAAAATCATGCGTGGCGGAATGCTGGTTGTTAATTATTAAATATCTGAATCGAGAATTTTACGAGGACGCTCGTACATTTATAGAAACTGTTCCTAACCTAGCAGCACCTTGAACTATTCACCCTCTCCATTCGAGGGTGTTTTATTAAATTAGCAGCGGTATACGACAGACGTACCGTGTTAACGTTACTCTTGTGTCTGTTATCGAAGTGGGCATCCAGGTGCTTCTCCGCGTAGAAGGACTTGCCGCATAGTCCGCAGGTCCACTGGGAAGGTCTGTGCTGGTGTTTCGCCCTCTGCTGCGGCCGAAAAATGTCCCGGCTCTCGTGGAACGGACACTCGATGGGCAGCTCTACCTGATACTTCTTCAGTATGGGCATCCATCTCTGAAATCTCGACAGAGCTGAAGGAATCGCTTGGCCGTCGTGTCTAAAAGCTACACCGTTCGCTAGAACTAAGCCCCCGTTAAACTACCCCCCCATCACTGCACCATCGACACCGGAAAAAAAAGTCAACAACCATGCTCGGAACCGAAAATTCTACCAAGGTAAATTAAACGGTTTGTTGTTCTTTACCTTCTGGACTATCCTTCTCACCACGGACGCTCGATCGCGGGGGCATGATATTTTAAAGACGCTGGGTCCTGGCCAGGGGATTACGGACAAGAGTAACACTATCAAAACCTACAAACGTAAAAGACGATAGACACAATCGTCCCCGTGAGTTCCCCTCACGAAATCAGGTGATTCAAGGTTTCGAAGATGAAGGGGTTTGATCGGGGTGGGAATGATGCGTCGTTTCTACTGTCCGATTCGCGTCGATGCCCATGGTTTTACCCGCATCTCATCGTGCTTCGTTATCTCTCGTCACAACACGAAACCGAATTCGATCGCGGACGTCCCCGTAAATTGCGTCGTTCGGACTCCGTGCAATCTAGCTGGCCTAGATTCAGCCTGGTGACGTCTTACGGTCGAGTCGGCGGGCATGTTAGATCCACGGTACGCGGGGTGCACGCGCATAAGCAGACGAATCTACTCGGCTCGATGTAGAATGAATCGTTTCGCGTGTCGTGCGTCCGTTCTACGTACATACGTACATACGTGGTGGTAAAGCGGAGATAATGAGAAACAGGGAAATTGTTATACATTTGGTTGAACACGCACTCGGATCACTCTCGTCATCGTTCCGCAGCTCTCACGGGGGGCACCCTGATAAATCGATCGTTCGACGTCCGTCCGATCTCGACGGGGCCAAGAAAAAATTGATTCGCAATGACGCAATCCCGGTGACGTGACGAAAGGTGACCATTCTGGCACGCATCGGTCGCACCGCTCCGGCCCCGTTCCCGTTAATTACCTCGAGATGAAAGGGTTGGGTCCTCATTCATAGCCCCAGGATTGCTCCTCGCGGTTGCGACCTGTGCCGCTCACGGAAACCCGGCACACACGGCTCCGGAACGGTTTTTTCTCTTTCACGCTGTTTTCTCTCTGTTTCCAACCGCGGAATTCGCGCTCGGTCTGTTCACGGTCAACTGGGGATGCGTCGGGGGTTGCGGCGTGCACGGACTACAGGGGTTGGACGTCGACATGGCGGCGTCGTGGCGCTACGCGCAGGGGTGAAACGTCGCGGGGCCCTTGATCGGAGGATTCGTCCGCCGAGATTCGATGGTTTTCCACCGTTAACGGTCGTTGTCCGTGGGAATTAAATCGGCGGGATCCGATCGCGGGATGTGACCGATCGGGAGGGGACCTCGGCCATTGGTCCTCCGTGGTTCGAGTTAGTTCGTGTTCGTAGTTGCTAATTAGATTCCGTTCATCTGCGATAAAGATGATTATCTTATCTCGAATGGGACACCGTTTTCTATTTAAAATTGCCGAATGTGAACTCTAATCGAGCGACGGCGCCAGGGAAGATGGGATTCTTCGAGGTGTATCGATGAGAATATATTCCAACTCGTTTTATTTATTATATACACTGCTTCTTTAGTTTATTTCTCTTATAAATAGGAAGTACCTTTTTTCATTTTCTTTGAATTTCGGTGTACTGGAAGATAGTTTTAATTGTATTGTTTAGGGGATGATTTGCTAGGGATTCTGCGGAGATACTTCAGTTTCTTCGGGAAATCATCTGGAAATTGACGTTGGTGTTTGATACTGTATCTGTGGAGCAGTGTACGTAGATAATATACTATGAAACTTTCGAAATCTGAGTTCCACGGTTCGTGGTACGGTCCTGGACGCGCCGGAGGACGTTGGAGTCGGCGTCAATGACGGCGCGCCGACGCATCGACGACTCGGCAACGTGCCGAGCGGAATCGTTCGAGTTAAATACGTACAGCGGGAGAAAATGTAGTTTTCATCAGCCCCCATCACTCTACGGTAAAGAAACTCGATTAGCCCGATGAATAGTTGAAAGTTGAGCTATTGTTTCGAGTTTGTCGTTGATTCTTCCAGAGACTGATCATTTTAAACGCATACCGTTCGAACGTTTCGTTTTTATGAAGTCTTTCACGTAAGTCACGTATTTCCGATAATACAAAATTAACTGACGCACGAGAAAATCAACACGTAAACAAACACCTCGTTTCTCACTGAAGTTTCCTCAACTCGAATATTCAAATTAATTAGCAAACACTGTTTACCATCGTTACGATACAAACTGATACGTTCATCTATTTCCGTCGAAAACATCTGCAACCTCGAGATCTCATTACTAGGAATCCAACTGTTTACCTCGTTTCTCGTTCACCGCCCCGACGATGCCTTTGCTTTTTCAATTATACAATACATTATAATTCTTCGTATGCACACTCCTTTCTCGCGCGACTTTATACACGAACGCCGTATATCATGCGTCACCGGATCACGAACCGTAGGAGTCGCTATCCCGATTAGTCGTATGCAAATTGATATCATAAAGATGCGCGGATAATTGTAATCGCTTTGTCGACGAACGATAACCGTCCCGACCCGCGAGAACGGGATTTTCGTCGGCAGATGGCAAGAGGGGAAACGTTCTCGCAGGTGACCCCGTTTGCTCCTCGGACAATTCGTTATTACCCGCCGTTCCACGATTGAACGGCCGCCCTTCTTCCCGGCGAGTCGCCGGCCGAGCCGAACGCTGTATCGATTACGTAATCCGAAGGAACGTGATCCGCGCGATTCAATTACATAACTCACAGCTGCAGACAATAAGCTGTTTTGTTCGGAGAACGATCGAACTCAATCCCGACCTACTGATAAAAAATCTCTAAATCACCACTACCCTACATCGTCTCGCATTCGAGTACCTCCGTTGAACCAATTTTGCATACTTCTCTTCAGATAAGAGAACATTCTCATCGTTGTTATGCAATAGATTCATTGAATGTTCGCTGATATCGAGTTCAAAGGAACTTTTATATCGTTCCTACGGAGCACTCTTTTCCTCGTAATTCTTCCACGCTTTATCTATTCTTCAGCCGAATTCCCTATTAATCTCTCCGACCACTTCCGCGAGCCAGAAAGCTAATATCAACCATCAATAACCTCATCCCTCATGCTTCAAACTCCTCCCATCGATTTTGAACCGATCGCCACAGAAGATCGCAGAATTACGAACTTACATACCAATCGCGATATTAGATGTTTTTTTGCCAAATGTTTTCGCGCGAAGATAGTATCGCGGCGCCACCGTTCGCCGATCGGACACGGCTGCAGCGCGGGGGCGGCAGGGTCAGAGTGCACGGTGCGCGATTGCGACGCACAATTCGCGTACGCCGCTGCACGTAGCGGCAGGGTTCGTTGTACACGAATAGCCCTCCTCGGGAATGCAAAATCCTCTCTTCGCGGTGGAACCTTGGTGCACGCCTCTTACCCGAGAGCGTCCGGCTCGGCTGGGGAGGGGAACATCGGTACCCTACCCGGCCGCACCGTGCGGCGAGTAGAAGTTCACTGGTTTGCCGGGGAATCTCGTAGTCTGTCAGTGAAAACAGCCGCGACAGTTGCTCGCGAGTCATCGTCCGGTGTTCCGTTACGCGACGTTTCCGCGACTTTTCCCGTGGGATACCGACAGAAAAGGTCGACGAACCAACGAGAGAGACCCGGCTGCGCGTTAGTGCCGTTTCGTTGGCCGATCCTTCTGGTTGAAACCGGCTGAAACCGGCGCGATACCGTGTACGGGGTCGAGCGTTTCGAGAAGGTAAGCTTTCTCTCGCGGCCTAGCATTTTCCTCTCGCGCGTTTAAACCGGTCCCACCGCGGCCGGACCCCTTGACGCGCCGGGTGCAACAGGTTATTCGCGGGTGCGATCGATCGGGAGGAACGAAATACCGCGCGACTGCCGCTGCGAGCTCGCTTTCGTGCTTTCCGGTCGGTTTTCCGCGCACGGTAAGCGTCGCCGATGGTATCGGGGATGTAAGGAATCGTGGTTTGTTAATGATTTTCATGGATACGCGGGGGAGGAAGTAAAGTTTGCTGGAGTGGAAGTCATTGTAGCTTGTTGGTGTTTGTGTTGGTCGGATTGCGTGGAGGGAAGAGTATAATTATTTTGGTAATTAACTTGCTTCGGTTTTCTTCTTGTGTAGGAATTTGTAGAGTTGAGAAGTTCGCTAGACAAATGAGATTTAGATTGTACATTTCGGTTTTCTCAAGATTTTAGTTTGTTTTGTAGTATGAGGCTAGTTACATTGTGGTTTCATTTGCTTTTGATTATAGTAGGTTGCCTTTTTCACTTATTCTCTTTGATTGTGGCTTAGACTGAAATGTACAACCGCTGTTCAAAAGTGTCCATTTGACAAGGCTACTATTGATCTTTTTATTTTATTATTAACCACGCACACGATTGTTTGACTGTCTTTTCTTTGAAATGTGCCCCGGAAAAGCCTTGAAACCTTCACGTGGAAATTATTTAAATGTAGATGATCGAAGTTCCACTCTGTGAACACAGTGTCAATGAGTATTTCGTCGCTGGAGTGCAATGATATGCAATACTGTGCAATTGCGACGTAAACAATATTTCATGGAGCGCGAAGTTTCACTGTTTTCCTTATGCCGAGGTTATGAATCATTGCTTTATTCGTCTACGACGCAAACAGCTGTAGAAAACGATTTAACTGTTCGAGTGGCAAGCGGCGCGATCGCGCTGTTACACTGTCTAAAAGTGTCACTCTATCGGATCGTGGACTGCAATTAACATTACTTATTCGTCTTCCTTTCAATTATCTATTTTTATTAATTACTTGCTTAAAAATGAAAAAACAGAATCCTGCTATTTACAATCTTTTCATATAAAACCAGAGAAGCGTCATTCAGTTTCTGAACTGAAACGAAAGGCACTCGGTTAATAGACACAACTACCTGTTCATCAATGTGGGTTACAGGAAATACGTCAGCCTCGTATATTTTCGTATCTTGTAGTGTATTAATAAATATTAGTACGTTACGTTTCGTCCGCGAAACACACAAAACGATTGCCGCACGAATGGGCTAGTCTCGATGATCAGCTGTGATCGAGCTGTTTCATTCGTGACAGAGTCCATTAAAGAGTCTTATAAAAATCTCGTCGCGGTACGTTTATCAACACGTCGTAGTTGCGAGTGATAGAATAATTTATAGCTACAAGGCACAGCGAATGCATTACAATATCTTAGCAGTTTTTTCTGTTATCCGTTTTTTCAAAGTTTCACGTTTCCACGTTTCTTTTATTAATCGCGACCTGTGAAAAAAGGTGACGAGACGACAATAGAATAGAATTAACTGCTCGTTCTCGCACAATTCGTTGCACTGTATTCTGAATGTTGTTATCACGTTTCTCTTCGAGTCACACGCGATCGAGTCGCATTTCATTTCGATCTGTTTCCCATTCACGGTGTCGCCGCACGTGTCGCAGACGGAGCAACAGAGTATCTCTTTTCGATGAAACCGTGAAAGCGTTAAACACGATAATTGTTCGCCGCACGTCGCGGAGTCTAAGTTCAGTACCGCAACTCATCATTCAATTACATCAATGTCATACCAATGTGCGAGTGTATCGCGTAACGCCAACAGTTTGCCGCAGTCCCCTTCAGTCTGGCGTTTAATAGAGACGTTAAAGAAAAGTGGAAGTTGACGGTTCGTAAATCAGTGAAATCCATCATTCCCGAGACGCTCGGGCATGTCCTTAAACATTACACAACGACTCGGTCGCGTTGTTTCGAGCGGATTAAAGTTCAGAGTAGACAAATTCGACGAACCGACGAATCGATTGTTTTAATTCTCTTCATTAATACCATGAACGTAACTTCTCTCGGAGCATGTTTATCCTACAAGTTTGTAGCAGTGCTAGTTTACATTTCAGCGTAGAAACATTACGGCGCAGTGTTCATTTTTACGGAATGTTATGTATAAACAAGCAATCCAAGTTCATAGTTCGCAAAAACACTGGACTCCCGACCGTAGCGAATACGTAATACCTGTAAGTATTTATTATGAGTCTCTTTCATTGACATCCGGAACATTCACAGCTCCGATAGAGTTTACGTTCTACTTCGAACGTTTACCTCGAAACGCGATACTTCACAGCATTGTCTCGTGATCCTTGCATAAGCAGGATAACGTCGAGAACACCCCTTTTACACCGAAGAATAAAAATAAAATGAAAGATTCGATAACCGCGTTAATCAGTGGCAATTTCTTTAATTGCAATTCCCGATCAAAACAAATTTGATATTCGTATGTAAAAACTTATCCGCGAGGTTAATTATTCGATCCGACAAATAACGTGCTCCGACGATTCAGATAGGGGCCGAGTTGTATTCGTATTTATTAAATTCGGTGCGAAGTCTAACGCGATAACGCGCGTCACGGAGAGGTTAATTATTTCCTACACTCCCCCCAATTACATTATCGAAGCAACTTGTTTCATTAAGAGGAGAAGCAATAGCTCCGCTGTAAAGATTTCATGCATCACCGTGTATCGCCGTTAATTGCAAAACTGCTCGGGTCCGTCGCCGATTTATTGTCCGACTTGGCCGAGCGACGTCTGACTCTGGCTGACAGATGCCACTTGATCGCTTTTTATCTCGGGCGAACGCGACTGGGCGTCGCCGATGCGTCAGAGAAGGCTCGTCGGTTGTTGTTGCAGATGCATCGCGTTTTATCGGCGAATCCCCGGTCCGTTTTCGTCGCCGGAAGATAACGGATAAAACACCACGGTCCAGAGGACGCGTAGCTGCAACTGCAACGATGCACATTCTACGTACTCTCCGTCTACGATTCGATGGCTAATATTGGACATCATTCGAATCTGTTGGGTTTAATAAATAATGACACTTCTTTATTTATTAAATACAATACAAATCTTATTACAACAAGACTATATTAACACGAAGGACAAAACAAAAACAAACCAATAACAAAATCGTTACCCAGAACAACAAAACATACGTTGATATATATGTATATATTATATATACGTGCTATACTTTTCTAACAGAATCAAATTTCATTTCAATAACGACGATCAACGAATAACGAATCTTCGTTCGATCATTTGTTATTGAAGTTACTCATTCGCGTGGGGACCTTGTACTAGTTATTTAATGCATTTCTTATTCATGCTTACAAATTCGATGATAGCGAGACAAGTTTCATTAGTTTCCGATATCACAGCCAGAACAACGAATAACAAATGGCAATTCCATTTATTCGTTATCTGTGTACGAATTCATTATTCGTCGGAAATCATTAGATAGAATTTGTTCGTTATTTTAACTGTTGCCTGGCGCTGCTAACGGGACACAAGAGAATGCTCTTGCCTACACGTTCTCCATGGAATCGGAAATTAGAATTGAACATGAGTCGAGAACTGACTAATTAGAGACACGTTTCTTCGGTCTAATAATTGAATTGCAACGGCCAGTGTTCGCCGGGATCGTGTCAACGACTGGCGTGCAGCGCGCAGCTGGTCGACGGGAACGCGTCGGTTACCGGGAACGTTATTTCAGTCTGTGGCACGATTACGCGCCGGCTCGGCCGGTGCACGCTCGAATTTTCGCGGTGTCGACGGTCAGCACTTGCGCGCTGCGCTCGCGCCTCGGACGCCTCGCCGACGATTGTTTTGAAATCGGGGACACTAGAATTTCGCTCGCCGCAGCGACATATCGCGCTTATTATTAGACCTCGCGGACCTTTGCGAAAACGCAATTCACTTGGCGTAATGAACGCTGGAGTCGAGCGGAAGTTTTGACTGCGGGAGGACTGAATTAACTGCAGCTCGAGTATAGATAATATCGGACTCGCCGCCGGTTTCCTCCTTCATTTGCAGTGATTATTCGATTTTGCATTCTATTCGAAACTGCTGGCTTATATAATTATCCAACGGTTGTTCGATAATCAACGTATAATAATAGGAAACGAGAAATTTAAGAGTATATTTACATACTTTATTGGACATTACGTATTCGATAAAAAAGGTTCCACGGAATTTCATGAAATCGGTATCAAAGGTCAGGCTGCACCAATTTCCATAGTCCTTTCATCACGAACCCATTACGGCCGGCGATTACGCAAGATTTATTTCCCCCGCGTTTCGAATAAGTGGAATAATTACAGTCAACTTTCACTGAGCAGCTCAGTCCCGGGTGAACGGGCAACTGTTCCTGTTCATTTCGAACCTGTCACTTTCCAACCTGTTATCTCGATCGCTCGTTACTCGTACGTGCAAACGGAACTCGGGTAAAACTCGACTGCCGCGAGTTATTTATTCCGTCTCGACGCTGTTCGCGGGAAAAATGTATTTCCGAACGATTATATCGTTCGTACTACTTGATTTTAACAATTTGCATAGCCGCGCGAAACAGGTTTCTTCGAGGAGCGAAGAAATACGCGGCTGAAACGCTGTCTTATCAATGACCCGATTGGATCGCGACGCGCCAGCATCCCCCCTCAGTTTCGTCTCGCCTCGTCGAAGCTTAATGGGTTCGCACAACCGTCGTCCGGCCGTAATAAACCCGTGAACGTATAACAGTCGCCAGTATAATTGCCAGTCATTTGGTTGACATTTGTACGATTCTCATCGATAATGCCGCGAGGCGAAGCGTAATGTGTTTACGTTCCAGCTAGATAACGGCGAGGTGTGTCACGTCGCGATAACCGTCACGCCGATTGTACTTTGTACCCATTGTACGAGCGATTCCTCGATTATTTCTGATCGATGATTCCTGAATTGTCTCGCCTCGACGCGTCGCCTACTAGCATTCCCCTCTCGCCTCGATCCGATAGAGCTCGTTACGTTCCTTGATCGGTTTCTGACGCGGACCGTCGCCCTTGGCATCGTTGTTTGCGCTGTAATCCGATCCAAATCGACTTTGCCGCTCGAGGTCGCTGCACTACCTGTGCAACGTTACCGTTCCCGACGCTTTTCCTCCTTTCGAGCTTGATATCCGTTTCGTCGTCGAAATGTTACGCATTTTCCTCTTGTTTCGCTGAAATACGTCGTTGCGAATTCTGACAGGCTTTTAGTCTGTTTCGTTATCCTTCCGTTGTTAGTTATTCCGGAAAGGGAATCACCATACGTTTGCATATGCTCGAAACGTTTTAATGTATATAATCTAGAAGCTAATGGGAATATAGTTTTGTTATCTTCTTGTTAATATAAATAAGGGTTAAGGAGTTTGACGAAATCGTGTATTTAGATATTATGGACGAATAATATACGACGTATAATATATGAACGAATAATATTGAGCTACTCAGTTAACCTCTAGTTATGTTAACAAGAAGATAGCAAAATTATGTTCCCATTAACTCGTAGATTACATACGTTAAAACATTAGATATTTCGAACGATTATCCAGGTAACGTTTCTCTACGCGAAAATTACATTATTCCATGGATTCGACAATCGATACGCAACCAACGATTCGTTTCTAACGGCAGACAATACGAACGCTGTTTTTTAAATGATTATAACAACACGGCGTCTTCGCAGGCTGGCTAACTTTAGACAGCCACGCATACTAATGAACTGCATCTGCAAACCGAGCTCGCATGCGCACGCGATTTTCCAAGAGCGTCACGACAATTGCGATAAACTCGCGAGGATAGCATTAATCGAGTTTAAACTTCAGTAATTTTATCAGCGAACGACGCGATAATTAAGAATGATGATTTTGCTAATTGTCCGCGGTCGAAGTCCACCAACAAAGTTTCGTTCACCGAGATAGAGTGACAACGGGGAAAGAAGTGGGGGAACGAAGTTGACTCTAGACTGCGTCGTGCATTATGCACACCGTCTACTAACCTAATCTATTTTATTCGAATAGTACAATGTGTTTCGTTGACTAGGAAAGACCATAAGTTTCGCATCAGCAGCGCGTTCTCGATTCGAAAGAAAACAATATAACTAGAACTGCAAACGCAACGATAGGTAATAGTCTTACAAACGGAAGTAACACCGATCAACTTTATTCTCAAGTGAATCAGAAGCTTGTTAACACTAGAACTACCGTACCTGTCAAAATGACTGGTTTCGATTTTGTTTAGCAATTATTGATTCGAAGCATTGAATACTCGAAATGATTTTGAAAATAGTTTCATTTGAGTACTATAATGAATGCCTGAAGAAACTGAAAATAATCTATTGTTACAATTTTTATAAGAATTGCGTATTAATCGTATTAAATGCTCGGTAGTTCTAGTGTTAAATTTGGATCATCATTCTGTCCACCGTAATTGATCGTTCCCTCGAGCTTAAACAAAATTATCCAGATAATGGAACGTCGATCAATTTTCAATTTCATTGAATATTCACGCAACGATAGGCAACAATCTTACAAACGAAACTAACACCGAACAATTTTATTCTCAAGTGAATCAAAAGCTTATTAAATTCAGATCATCATTCGGTCCATTGTAATTGATCGTTCCCTCCAGCTGAAACAAAATTATCCAGATAATGGAACGTCGATCAATTTTCAATTTCATTGAATATTCACGCAACGATAGGCAACAATCTTACAAACGAAACTAACACCGAACAATTTCATTCTCAAGTGAATCAAAAGCTTATTAAATTCGGATCATCATTCGGTCCATCGTAATTGATCGTTCCCTCCAGCTGAAACAAAATTATCCAGATAATGGAACGTCGATCAATTTTCAATTTCATTGAATATTCACGCAACGATAGGCAACAATCTTACAAACGGAACTAACACCGAACAATTTTATTCTCAAGTGAATCAAAAGTTTATTAAATTCGCACCATCATTCGGTCCATCGTAATTGATCGTTCCCCACCAGCTGAAATAAAATTATCCAGATAATGGAACGTCGATAAATTTTGAATTTCATTGAATATTCGCGCAACGAGTCGATACCGATGTATCGGGATCGATAAGAGAAGCGACACCTCTGAAACTCTACTCTCGCAGCCTAGCATTGTCACCCGGCCCGTTTATCGAGAAATCTTCTTCCTTTCCGTTTCCATCGTCGGCCGGCTGGCTGGCCTACATTCCCCCGTTGCATCCCACGCGTGCGCGTGCATTATGCGACAGCTAGAAAGCCGCTTTCGCGGCGGACTAATTTACCCGGTTGTTTTTTCATGCCCGTTTCTTTTCGTTTCCAGCGTGCGGCGATCGTCTTAATGAATTGCTGAGCCGTCGGGGGAACGAAGTGGAATCAGAAATAAAAGCCGGCGAACCATGACCACCGTCAGACAGATACTACGTTGCGCAAAAAGGCTCGGCCAGCTGCCGGAGAGCGGGGCGAGGGCTTTCAACCGGTCCGCCAGATGCGCGTCCACCCAGACGCAGCAGAAGGTCGTCGAGAACGAAAATGGGAAACGGATTTTCTCGTCGCCCTACGGCGAGTATACGTTCAACGAGATGTACACCCACGAATACGTGTGGAAGAACCTGCCAGACTTCGCGGACAAGACCGCCCTGGTGCGTGCTCGATCATATTTTCGTATAGAACTATTTCCACTCTGATCAGCTGACTAGTTAGTTGCAAAATAAAACGAACTGGACGAGCAATTTGTTTTGGTAGATACTTAACCCTTAGCAGTTCTATGTCGAGTCAGACTCGACATTCTATTTTATTGTAACCTCTACCTGTAACAATTTTTTCTATATTTATTTGTAGCATCGTAATTGTACCATTTAAAGGTAACATTTCAATGACTCCCTAATATACTTGAATAAATAATTACAGCGTCATATTAAGCTGTAATCGAATGAACTAACGTCGACGTGAACCTCAAAGTGAGAAACCAAGAGCACTTCGGACCGCAAAGGGTTAAACGAGAGGAAAGACGAAAACTGATAGACTGATTCAGAGTAGAACTACCGAGCATTTAATACGATTAATATGTAATCCCTATAAAAATTGTGACAATAGATTATTGTGTTTTTTTAGACATTCATTATAGTATTCATATGAAACGATTTATTTCCAAGATAATTTCAATTATTGAATGCTTTTAAGATATTAATAATTCCGAAACAGAAAGATCAAAACATTTTGACTGGTTCTAGTCAAAGTTAGTCAAAGGTAGTTCTAGTGTTAATGGGGAGACATAAGAATCGATAGAAAGTTGAATGGACGAAAGAGAATGCAGAACTTTAAATCAAACTTTAAAACCGGTCATTTGATCGCGGTGCGTTTAGTGGTAATACTTATTCCCCCGTATCGAAGATAAAACCGAGCAATTGCTATCATGTAGTTCAGCGAGGTTTAAAGTAACGCAACGAAATTTATCTTTAAGATAGTGGATACTCTGCGAGGGTCGCTGGCGACCTCCACTCAAATTAAATTAATATAATTCGCATGATTACACGGTGATTGCTTGGCAACAGTTTTGTATTACACGTAATGCTATCTATTCGAATGAAATCGTTTTTTTTAAATATCAGCTGTCTCGTGAGGCATAATTGTCTCCGAGTAATTTCTCAACGTGCCACGAGACAGATGAATCGGCAAGTTCTGGCATAATGATAATGACTGGCAGATGTGTTTACATTCTCTTTTTTTAGTGTGTAGCAAATTAAAATTGATGTCAGCAGTCTCAGACACGTGTACACTCGGCAGGTTACTATACGAAGATAACGTTGCAAAGGTCTGGCTAGTGCATTTACACTTTTATAATGCTGATTTAAATACCTGTGACACTAGAACTACCGTACCACTCAAAATGACTGGTTTCGATTTTTTTGTTCAGCAATTATTGATATCTTCGAAGCACTGAATATTCGAAATGATTTTGAAAATAAATAGTTTCATTTCAGTACTATAATGAATGTCTGAAGAAACTGAGAATAATCTATTGTCACAATTTTTACGGGAATTGCATATCAATCGTATTAAACGCTCGGTAGTTCTAGATTATTGAGAGAACGAAAAATTGGCTTGTGCCGTATGCAATAAATATTTGCAATAATTTCCACAATCTTTCGCCTTCGTTTTGTATCCGCGCCATGATGTTATTTATCGCAGGCCGTGTGTCGGACACGCCTGATCTAGAGAAATCGATCCGGGAAAATCGTACGCCGCGGACTTTGATCCTTCGATCGCGTTGGCAGCGAGCTCCAAGTGAAAACCGTTCTTGGCCTTTGGCGCTGTTCGAATTTACCGTGAGCATGCTTCAGGATTAAATTCCGCGTGCGACTAGGTTGACATATATAATATTTCTTTTTCATTTGATTATTTGTATTTAGATGATATTTAATGTTCCAATTCCGAACCCTCGTTGATCATCTCGTAAATTCAATATTATTTGCGTGAATTACACGCGAACGGCATTGAAAGTAGAGAAAAAGAGTCTAGAAAACCTTGATAAATCAATTACCATTAATTTGTAAAGTTATCAACTTCTAATGCCTCCAGGAAACAATTAGCAATTCCATTCTGCGTATAGCTATGAGAACGGTTTTCTGAAGTAACAGTGGAATTAACTACGCTGTGATCGTCAACAATCCTCGATCGCAACGTGCAACAACAATTCATGTCAACTCAATGTGCTTGTAACACGTTCCGTGCCACGGAAACTTCGGTTATATTTTGCTTATGAATCGTATCGAGTTTTTCAATAAAATAAGTTACATTCAAGTTTCTGGTAATTTCTATATATTTTGATATTGTCTCTGTTTTCACTGCTTTGTAACGTACACCGCCGACCATATATCCATTAAAAATATTTTCTTACAAACATTGTCGTATACCACACGTGGTACACGTGGCACGGAACCTGTTAAATAGTATAATTTTTCTACCGATGCCAGTTCACAGGCTGATCACGTTAAGTCGAGCAGCACTCAATAAAATAAGTTACATTCAAGTTTCTGGTAATTTCTATATATTTTGATATTGTTTCTGTTTTCACTGCTTTGTAACGTACACCGTCGACCGTGATCCATTAAAAATATTTTCCTACAAACATTGCCGTGTACCACATGTGGTACACGTGGCACGGAACCTGTTAAATAGTATAATTTTTCTACCGATGCCAGTTCGCAGGCTGATCACGTTCGCGTTCAGTCGAGCAGCACTCGGCACGATGGATTATTCCGAGTGTCATTGCTCTAATGCGATCGACGGCGCTGTTTTAGGTATGTTCGGTGACCGGAAGGAAGTACACGTACAGCCAGGCTAGGGACGCCGCTAATTATATCGCCAGGAGTTTGTTGAGCATGGGCCTGAAAAAGGGAGACGTGGTCGCCCTGGTGTCGCCCAATTATCCGGAAACGGTCCTGAGCTTGCTCGGCGTGATGGAGGCCGATTTGGTCGTTACCACTGTTAATCCGTTCTACACACCCGGTGAGTCGAGTCGCGATCGTAGAAACCGATTGCACTTATTCCAGCTTAGGAGAAAGTTGCACGGAACCGGGTACGCGGGTCAAACCGGGTTCCATTGTTTTTTTATGATATAGCTGGGGAATGCAGGAAAATCTTTGAATCGCAGTCGATTTTATCAAATCACGGTGTTATCGAATCAGTCTCAAGACAGAGATGATTATAGTGTTTTATGTGGACGACGTTATAAATGTCAAGTTGAACAGGTTCCGTCGGAAATGAAATAAGTTGATTCGTGGCAGCTTTTTTTATATGTTGGCATTTAACAATTCAGTTAGGAAGATGCTATTTGTATTTTATAGCTTTGACAGAGTACTTTACAGCTTTATTCATTTTTCTGTTCTTATATTGGAGCAGAAATGTTTAGTGCTTAGTCAACTCGTTTTTCTCATGAAAATTGAGACTTGAAAAATACATTGCGGCTCTGCTGCAGTTTTTTCGATGCCTTTATCAGTTACATTACTTAGCAGCCTTGAAAGTCGGTTGACATATCAGTAAAAATATTTGCGATCTTTTATGTGCCACTGATTACGATCGTGCGCGTAATGGTACCGTGAGAATCATTTGAAACAATGAAACATGAATAATCGTTTCTAAATGAACAGTGTCAATATTCTCGAAGAGAATGCATAAGTAAGAATCTATTGTTTCATTTATTATAATTCGGATCAGCCTGTAATACAGACTTTTTAGTATTATCTGTTGCAAATCGGTGCCTCTCGGCGAATGAAGTTCATTTAGATGCTAAAAATTAGTACTTCGCGTTACACAAAGTTACAACTGGGTGTTTTAACTTATGCTAATAACGTGACGGAATTTATCATAGTTCTGACCGATAACAAGTTGACATGCGCAACGACCATTTTGAATGTGCAAAAGCTTTGCAACGTACGTAGAAATCTATTCCTGTTCCGTCACGGCGCGATAACTTTGCTCGCCAATGATACGTTAATTTATTTGTGTATTCGGCCATCGTTCCGCGTGCAACATAGTGCATACACGTGGATCACCTTGACTTACCATTAGCGATCGGTTTGCGCAGAGGAGATCTCGAGACAGCTAAAGAATTCCGGAACAAAGGCTGTGATCACCGTGACTGAAATAGCGGGAAATGTTCTGGCGTCCGTGAAAGGCACTCTTAAGTCCGATGCAGCTGTGATAGTCATCGATGACGGCACCGGGCCGATTCCTGAGGGTACTATACCGTTTACGGTAAGGATCGCAATTAATCAACGAAATTCAATCGTTTTCATTGCACCGGTTAATTAGAAAAGTATTTCTTAAAACGTCGAACATACTCATGAAATACTTTATTCAATTAGAATACATATATATTATTAAATTAAAATAAATTAAATTCATTTAGAATCGTTCTATCGCAATTTATAAAGTCTAACCGGCGTTCATATCCAGTTACCTCGATTTCGCTGTTGCGTAGTATCATAATTTCATTCGAGTAACATAGTATTGCACGAAATTGAATATTGAACACCAGAGTTTACAATTCCGCTGCATCGAATCAAGTGCTGGCTCAGACTCGCCGCTGAAGTGCAAACAGTCGGAGTGTTTCGAGCGTTAAGCAAATGCAATCCTTCCAGGATCTCGTTACCCGCGGCAAAACGTTGCCGCCCTTAAAGCACAGCCATGAGAACGTCGACGACGTTGTTCTGTTGCCTTACTCCAGCGGGACGACCGGCATGCCGAAGGGCGTCAAGCTCACCCACAAGAACTTAGTCGCCAACATGGACATGACCGAGCAAACGGTCAGTGGAAGAATGTGGGATTTCGCTTCTCGTAAGGGAACGTTTTTCTTTCCATATGAACCGTTAGCTGGGATAAAAAGTCTCGTCGCATTTTCCCAATGAAGTTTCACCCTTTGCACTCGACGGGTGACCCTCGGTCAGATTTGAAATTGTAAGATTTTATGTTTAACCCTCTGCGGACGGAGACTCTTTGAAGGACACAAAGTTTGCAATGTATGAAGCTAAATTATACATCGAATGCTTAAACAATAGTAAACAATGGAATTATACACTGATCACTTGCTATTCAAGTAATTAACCCTTTGCACTCGAAAGTTTTTCACTTGAAGTATTCTATACTTTCTAATTAGATGTAGACAAGATTCTTTAAAATGAATTTAACAAGAAATCATACATAAATTAGGTACCAAAGTTATTTTCTTTCAATTTTTCACGTATTGACGCAGTATACAAAGGTTAATGGTAAATACCAAAGTTTATAATTTTACTGTACCAAATCATCTGGTGACTGAGAGTCACCTCTCGAGGGCAAAGGGTTAAACCATTAAGTAACTTGGTATTCCAAATATGAAAATTTCATCTGACCGAAATGTCATTCGTCAAAGGGTTAATATTGAACCGTGTACAATGTAATTAATTTGAGTTATTCTCATAAGATATCTTCGTCTATTTAGAGAATGTTAAGTATTTCTAACGAACCACTTCCGAGTGCAAAGCGTTAATTATGACACGATCGTAAGGAATTCAAAAGAAACGAAAATACCGTTTCAATTATGACGGAAACGGCACATTGAAATGTAAATCGGCAAGACCTTTTCCTCAACTTAATATAAATATTTCTAGATGAATCACCTCGCCACGGAGTTGACGAGGTTAATGACTCATTGTCGATTTTATTTTTAGCCGACTTCCAAGAAGTGATACCAATGATCTTACCGTTCTTCCATATTTTCGGGCTGAACTCTTTAACGCTGCCGCGACTCTCCACCGGCACGCAAATTATCACCGTGCCGAAATTCGTGCCGGAGCTCTTCATCAAAGTTTTAACGCAGCATAAGGTGAGTCTCCCGCGGAATTCGCGAGACATTCGAGCGATCCCTTTCTGGAACGACATAGATTCTAAAATAGATAAATTTCGGATATATTCTGATGCACTGAATTCTTTGGCTAACATTGTCTCCGACTTTTCTGAATACATTCAATTGTCGTTTATACTTTTCTACGTTTCATCTGTGTGACTTCATTGAATGACTATATTCATTTTATGCCGCCTAGATAACGGGGATTTACATAGTGCCTCCGTTGTTGTTATTCTTCAACGCGTCTCCCTACGTGAAGAAGGAACTGCTGCAACACCTGCATCACTGCATCATTGGTGCCGCGCCTCTATCGAACATGGACGTGATGAGGTTCTACGACAAGTTCCAGATGAATGACACACAGCTAAAGTTCTGCCAAGGTAAATGAACGCTTTGCCTCTCGCCTTAATACTTTAACTGCGAAGTAAACGCTCGTCGGAACTTCTATGCAGTCGGAACAGTGTTCTTAATAAAGTAGAATTGAAAAAGTCAAGATTATAACGAAGTCGGAATTAAAAATTCTGGTTTCAACCAGTTAACTGTGGAATTTAGCTGGAGAAATCTCTCGTTCTGCGAGCAATAAAATAAAAAAGTGTACAAAGATCAAAGCGAAACAAAGAATTACATGTTTATGTGAAAAAATAAAGAATTCGTCGCTGAAAGAATTAGTATCGTGTCAATTACGATGACGATACTCGTCAAACACAGTTAACTGGTTAACACGTTCACATCGGCGTAATTTCCACTCTTTCCCATTTGGCTGAATTCTCAAAATTGATAAAAATATTGAAATGATCAATAAGTAAATTAACTCTCAGCTATATGGCAATGTTTTTTAATTACCAAACCACTTGACGAGCCATATTTGATGCTACACACCATCTAATGAGCCATCAATGGTACTAATGTGATATCTTACTGTGAACTTACTGTGAACCTGTTAAACAGTTGAAATCAATTTTGACCTTAAACTTAGGCGTCTCTTCTTCGTTTGCTGTGCAGGATACGGTATGACTGAAACCTCGCCGGTATGTTTCTTCGAGTTGTCGGGAACGAACCCGGGCAGCATCGGAAAAAATATAAAGGGATGCGAGGCTCGATTGGTGGACCCGCTTACCAACAAGGATGTCCATCAACCGGGAGAGACCGGCGAGATCTGGGTCAAAGGACCTCACATTATGAAAGGGTACTTGAACAACGAGACCGCGACCAAGGACATGATAACCGAGGATGGCTGGCTGAAGACTGGGGACATCGGTTACTACGACAAGGAGCAGTTTTTCTACGTCACTGACAGGCTGAAGGAGCTGATCAAGGTTAAAGGATTCCAGGTGAGTGGTTGCACTCAAAACGAAATCCCAGTTCAGTGTAAAAATATTGAATCAATCAATTTTGAAACCAATTTCGTTTATATATTGGAATATTGATAAATATATTGTCGAATGTCACAATTGTTTTTTATAGAAATTACATAGATTTATTCGACGTTTCGTAGACATCTTTCAGTATTTATGATCAAGAGAAGGATTAGCAGTTAATTGAAAGTAGGATTGATGGAAGAAGCCTTCGTTTATATATTAGAATATTGATGAATATATTGTTGGATGTCACAATTGTTTTTTATAGAAATTACATAGATTTATTCGACGTTTTGTAGACATCTTTCAGTATTTATGATCAAGAGAACAGTTAATTGGAAGTAGGATTGATGGAAAAAGCATTTGATTTGTATTGTTAGAATATTGCAATGAACATTCTTCTATTCTCAATTGCTCGCAGGTTGCACCAGCAGAACTGGAAGCATTGCTAAGAAGTCACCCAGACATCCAGGAAGCAGCTGTGATCGGTGTTCCAGACCAAAGATGCGGCGAGGTGCCGAAAGCTTTCGTCATTGCCAAGGATGGCAAGAAACCGACTGAGGACGATGTAAAGAGCTTCCTGAAAGGAAAAGTAGCCAGCTACAAAGAGCTTCAAGGTAATAGAATTTGCTTCCTATCACACGATTACTTTCTCCACGTAGGAACCTCAGAATTCGATTTCTCCAATGGCTAAAACGAAGACGTTGAAGAAACAATGAATCTCCCTAAATGTTCTTGCTTAAATCCTCTTTCAAAGATCTCCACGAGCCACCTATTACGCAGAACAAGAAAGAAAAACAAGAATACCCTATAACACGGAAGAACAGTAACAAAATTAACGAATAAGATGTTCGATTAACAAGCGATTCATGGTTTTAGGTGGGGTGACGTTCGTGGACAATATTCCGAAGAGCGCGAGCGGGAAGATCTTGCGAGTACAACTAAAGAACATGTACAAATAGCGAACGTCCATCACGGGTGTTCGTTGATACAGGGAATTTTGATGTGATACCTCGATTAACAGTCCACGCGTAACGAGACCAGCTGTCAATCAAGTGTGATATAGTGTCTGCGCGCCGGTGTGTTGTTTCGGTGAAAAAAAGGGGGGAAATGTTAAGGGCAAAACAAGAAATGGAAGAAAAAGTATCGGCGCCATTGGAATCGCGTAGCTATTATTGGGAAAGGAGGACGAGTGTTGTTAATTGACGTTAATCCGTTGAACAGCCAGCGTACGATCGATTCGCTCGGATGTTGAGCAAGGTGTCTAGACGTATTTGTCGCGTGGACCATGACTCGCTGGGACCGACCGGCTAGGAAACGCGAGATACACTTAACATATCGTGAAACGTGGTTAAGGGATGCCGCCGTTCGACGTGCGCGCTTATTTTTCGATGCTGATTGGCACCCTGTTGTTTTCTTCTTTTTCTTTTCGTTTTTCTTTTTGTAATTTTATTTTACGTTACCCAATTTGGTGCTAACTCTATCAATGCAATTAATTGTAAGGATACGCTCGGCCCGTTTTCGGCGGAGCATTACGATGTGTAATTTTTATAGGTCGTTTGTATGGCAAAGTACCAGGTGTTTTAAACAATAAAACCTTTTACAATTACTATCGATATCTCTCACCATTCTACGTTCCACGGGGAAACACGGGCGCGAGCGCCGTGAAACATTCATCCGCCATTCCCACTTTTCAGTGTTTACTTTGAAACGGTCAAATTCCATTCCTGCGCGCGTCCCGTTTCGATGGGGCCGAGAATAACACGAAATGTATTCGAAAAACGCTTCGATGTCCGCGGCTGGGAACAGAAAGTGCGGACACGTCCAATTCGATTTTCCCCGGAAATATGTCTCGTATGAGCAAATTTCGCTTTATATTTCCGCTCCACTTTCCCAGGAATACCTTTCGCCTCGATTGTACAGCGGGTAAGGGACCGTTTTGCAGGGAATCGCGACGAACGCTCGCGTTACCGTCCGCGTAAAGAATCATCGGGACGCATCGCGCGGTTTTCAACATTTTCATCCCTCGATCCTCGAAACACGTCGTCCCGTATCTCTTATCGCTCCAGCCGTTCCCCCGTTTACGTTCTCCAGCGCATCCGGCTGCAGTGTTTTTTTCCACAACACCATCCGCACCGTAAACCAGAAATTATGCTCGACATTCCCATCCGGGCTAGCCGTTTATTGGACGCAACGTGTTTCTCTTTTCTCCTCGTTTCCTCTTCGCCGCATTTCCCTTAGCCCGCGGCTTGTAACCCTTCGTTGAATAGCGAAACGACAACGACGCGGACCGTGGACGTTACCATTTTACGGCTGACGCGAATGAACCTTTCCCGAGGTGCTTTTTGTCCGATGCCCTTCCCTCGAATTGGCTCCGCGCTGTGAATGAATTGTCACGTTCCATGGCGTTAACGAATACCGTCAATATCAAAACCTTCGGTTGGTAATACAACTAAACTTATCCGATATTTATAAAGCGTTAAAAATCGACGATAATTCCTCAATATCTCTAAATCCTCACATGCCAGCTGAAATCGCATCGTCAATTTTCTGAATCCTAATTCACGAACATTTTAATTCAAGATAAATTGACATCAACACTAGAACTACCGAGCATTTAATACGATTGACATGTAATCTCTATAAAAATTGTAATAATAGATTATTTTCAGTTTCAAGTGAAACTACTTCCAAAATCATTTCAAATATTCAATGCTCTTAAGGTATTAAAAACTGCGAAACAAATCGAAACCAGTCATTTTACTGGTACAGTAGTTCTGTTAAGTATCTAATCAACCCCATAGAATATCTCCACGGAATCAACTGAATTTATTTCCTATAAGCTGAAAGTATACAAGTTTCAATCGGAATAAAGAACCCTATCAAATTCCTTCGAAAAAACTCGCGCCATTCCCCTCTGAACGATCATTAATTCCAATCGGGATCGATATCGGCCTCCACTCGTCGGTAAGGAAAGCGACACTCACGCTGGGGGTGGCTTTCGGGGCGTTTTAATCGTCGAGCCGCTTGTTCCTCGCGCAATTTACCATCCAATCCACCTTCGAATAACTTCATTTCACCGTTCACGGGCGAAATGGGGCACGAACGAGGGACTTTCGCGATCACGATCTTTCGCGCGCTCACCGCCACCACCACCCCCTATCCCGGCGTAATCACGTAGGCGGCTCGGAGCGTTTCAACGAAAACGTTTCGAATCGAGTTTCCGCGGGATTCCGTTCGCCGTCTAATCGCTGGATGTCGGCTCGCGACAGTGTACGGTTTCCCGTCCGACATCATCCGGCGGTATTCAAACAGTCGGAGAGTTGGGATCGACGCGCCGGCACGGGGGGGAAGCGACGGAGGGGAACAAATGTTCAGGCGCACGAGCTTTTCACCCGGAACGCGGGTCTTCGAGTGTGTGCAGCGGTTCGTTCTCGAGAGGTACACACGCGAGAGCTTATTTACTCGTGTTTTAGGCTTATTAATGCGCTCGCGAGGGGAAAGAATTGAAGGAGGACGAAGGAGGGCTCGTTCATTGCGTGGGAAATTCAAAGGGGAGCTTTTCAAGCGGATTTCCAGTGTTTAAACGTGGGGAGAATGAACCGGATGCTGCGGTCTTGATACTTTAGTACTCGGTTTCGATGGTTTATCGTCGACTTAAGGGTGTTTGTATGAATCTATGTTTATTCTGGATGTTGAGAGAACATTAGAATAGGTAGGTTTTTCTTTTAAATGGAATACGTTATTGAATACCGAGGCGATAATGAGAAATATAGATACAGCTGAGAAAAGCGAACGGTGGTGCCATCCGACAGTGATACGTTTAACCTGCTTTATCGATAAGTCTTCGAGTTTCGAAATCTTGAAGCATTCGGTGTGTTTCTGTGGAAATTTGTGATATTAGTCTCTCAGTCACAACTTGATTTCCTACAGTGAAGCTATAAAGTTTGATATTTAATATTATACTTCATATAATGCATCAATCTGAGAAACATTGACGTAAAACAGCTTCGTCCGTCAATTCACGTGAATTTCTCGTCGAGTTGGTTTTACAAAATATCGTCTTCGTCTCGTCAGAAAATGTTGAAATATTTCTAGTGAAAAACTTCGGAGTGCAAAGGGTTGGAAATCGAAACTATTTTCAGTTCCATTTAATCTTCAATCAAAATCGAGGAACTTTCGAGACTTATTGGTAGATTTCAGATGATACAATTCCGTCGCGATTAAGAATTTATTTCCCGAGTACACTCGATGCTTTGTCACTCGATGTCATTGTCCAATGGTGAACCGGCGCAAACAAAACGATCGACTCGGATGGAAATCAAACGAAACACGCGAGACGTTCCAGGCATTCAGCTCGCGTCAGTTTCGTCTCTCTGTTTCTTCCCGAACGAAAATGGGGAGATGAAACATGAAAAATAGAACCGGGAGGTCGTAGCCAGCGCGCCACTCGTTTTTCCTCCTCTATTTCTCAACCAGCTTCTTCTTCCTCCTCTTGCTCTTTTTCTGTGTCTTGTTCACCCGACACTCTCGCGACAGAGACACGCTCCACTAACGATGGACGATCTCGTTTCCTGTTGGCCGGTGTAAACCGTCTTCGTCGCTTTGTGTTCTTTAGAATGAATCTTCCGGCTTTCTCCTGGCGATTAGAAACTGCTAACTACCTGCAACATACTTTCCAGTTAACCTACCAATCCTCTGTTTCCATTAATCATTTTCTAAATATTAAACTAACACAAAAATCCCTTAAGAGGACTTCTAAAAATCTAAGATCTCATAAAAGTATCATCCACCTTTATATGAATTTTCTCGAAATCTAAATATATTACTACCAGAAGAACCTCACTTAATCAGTTAACTGCGTTTGACGAGTACACACGTCATCTTAAAACTGATGGTGCTTTTTCAACGATGGATTATTTATTTTTCGAGACAAACATGTAATTCTCCTCCGTTTCGCTTTAGTTTTAGGATATATTTTAAGCGCATTTGACCTGCATTTAACGAGTATACTTCACTATTTGATTTTATTGCACGCACAGTGAGATTTCTCAAACTAAATTCCACGCTTAACTGGTTAAATCGAATATAGTAACATTGGTTTCTAAGCTCGCAGTCATTTCCAGAGAATTTCCTTAGCTTGAATCAGGCGTTCACGGTTCCCAGCGAAGTCGCTGAGCGCGTTCAGACGAATTTCTTTTAAGTGTTCTCCGATATCCGGGACTGAATTCATCGCCAGCCAGCTCAAAGGAGTAACGGCGAGGTGGATCTCGGCGAACAAGTGCCCTCGTTTGCGGCTAGAGTTCTGCTCCTTTCTTTCGGCAACCGGCGCGGCAACGACGCCCGCCGCGACGACGAACGGAGAATTAAAGAAAGGGAACGACGGTCGTGCGAAGCAGCTGGGATTCGCATATGAAACACGCCGGCGGAAAAACCACCGCGCACGTTTCATTCGCAGGAAGTGCAGGCCAGATGTAGCGGCCGCTGGATGAAACACAAACACGTCTTATTAATACTGCCATTCAGCGCGAGTCGGTTTTAATTTCGCTAGTTTTTAAGCGGCCGCAGTTCCCCGGCATTATTAGTCGAACGGATTTTATCCGTCCATTCTTCGTTTGAATGCGCGACGCGGAATTGAAACACGCGGTCTCATTCAGGATTAATAACATTTTTATCTCGTTCGGGACTGATTAAAACCTTTCACTCGAGAGACCGGTTTCTCTTTGGCGCCGGGCTTCCTTTCAACCACCCGGGGAACTTAATATTCCCCGGGGGATTACATTAAAGGACTGTGTAACTTTTTCCTAATTCTTTATCCCGCCGAGTGAAACCCTTGCTCTTTTCGAGAATTCCCGTACATTCCGCCGAAGATACTTTGTGGACGTTGAAACTCGAATCTCCGGTTTCTCAAAGGGGTCTAAATAAACATGATTTCACACGAAAAATGAGGTATCATCTTTCAGCCCTTAAACTCGGCAACCCAGTCCGACCGTGCCGCCTTCCGCAGCACTTAATACAGCTGCCCGTGAAAAGGAAACGGGGGACATCGACATCGTTGAAAGTTCGCTAACGTTTCAAAGCTGTTTCGTCTTGCTTTGAGCGCGAGAAGCGTGCCGCGACGCGACGCGAGGTGACGCGGCGCGACAAAAACCGAAGAAAATGGAAAAGTGCCAGGGCGTGCGAGCCGGCGATGCCCCCTTTGGGGATCATCGGGGAAAAGCGCGAGGACCGTGCGGTCACGGGACTCTGAAGCCGGCGTGCAGGGGTCTGCGAGAGAGAGAGGGCGCGGAAGGTCGAAAGGCCGGAATTGAATTCGCTGTCAGGAGCGGGCCAGTACGGCGCTATTATTAATTTACCGGGATCAAAGGCAGTGTCACGCGAAGCTAATTAGTCCCGTGCGACGTGTGACGACAAACGCGGCCTCGCGGCGCGTTTCCGAATGGTCGAATGTGTTCACCGAAGGACCCCGGCGAATATCCAATTACGATATGGACGCGAGCGACTCTTAATGATTTTCGAGCACTCCTCTCGCCGCGGCTTATTAATCGCGCTTTGATAGCTTTACGACGGCCTACGCGGACTCGGTAAGTTGGTCACGTCATTATGCGCG